TAGTACTAGTACTAGCAGTAGCAGCAGTAGCATCAGCAGCAGCAGCAGCAGTAGCAGTAACAGTAGCAGTAGTAGCCGCAGTAGTAGTGGCAGCAGCAGCAGTAGCAGTAGCAGTAGCAGTAGCAGTAGCAGTAGCCACCTCTAACCCCCGACGAAGGAGCTAGAGTGGCGCTTTAACGAGATGGTGCTCAGAAACTTTCTCTATGGCGCTGCTTTGGGCATAGCCTTCTGGTTTACCCTGAAGTTCATTCTGGCTGTCAGAAGGCCCTAATTCCGGCAAGCTGGCGGAAAAAGTGCTGGTTTGCGTTCAGCGACATCGATCTCTCGACACGTTTACCCACGCCCAGAAGCCGTGAAAGCCAGTTGAGATGTCCGCCCATGATGCACGACACTGCATGGCTCGAAGCTCGCAGCTCACACATGATATGGGCTCGGAGGTGCCTGCTTGAAGTTCCTTGAGATAGGCCCAGCCACTCAAGCCTAGCAAAGTTAGATGAGGGTTTGTCTGGATACTGGTTTCATCATTCAGGGGTGGGGAGGGCGGGCAGCCGCTGCTGCTTCTTGAGACTGACTCAAGCATGCCTTCAGCACATGGTTTCTCCCTGAGCGACTTCCAGTCGGACTTCCTTGGGCCGTATGCAACTTGAAGGCAACTATGCACATGGCCCCGGTCAGGTTTACGGCAGTCGATGCTTAACAATTTTGCGCTGCGTGTTGTTCGTAGGTGGTAATGCAGAAGTGCATGTGTCGTGTGCTGCAAGTGGCAAGGACTTTCTCTCTTTGAACACTTATAAGTGTTTCTCAGTTTGTGGATACCATTCCTCAGGTCAAGACTTGCCAGCGCTCGCCTTTGAGCAGCTTCTTTGGCGAGACCGTGCCATCAGACCTCACCACCTTCAAGGCGGTCCGACGGGAATTTAGTTGAGGTACCTTACCCCGCAGCGGCAGTTGTGACCATGTGCACACGGGCTTATCCGGAGACCACTGCATCACCAGTGTATATGAGGTGCCCTGATTTAGAGGTTCATGGAGCGTCGAGCCTTCGCCAGGTGGTCTTGGAGCCCATGCGACGAACTCCATCCTTTGATCTTCAGAAGTTCTTCGCATCACCGAAGGGCATGGCGTGCTCAGCCAAGCTCGCTGCGGCCGTGACCAAGGCAGATACTTCAGGACGTCTGCTCATATCTTGGCCGATGGTGTGCTGGAAAGGTTCAGCTTGCAGTCTAGCTGACCTTGTTGCAGCAAGCCTGATGCAGGAGATAACAATGACGAGATTCTTGCTAAAGTGGAAAAAATCGCCATGGACGTTGGGCCGGAGTGTGCGGCAGCCCTGCAACATATGGAGGGAACTCCCGCCGATGCCGTGGCAAAGATTCAAGCAGGAGTGGCGCAATCCCTTCCATGAGCGTGCTGTCAGCTGCTTCGCTTCTGGCTAGAATTTGCGGTGGAACTGTGCAAGCGGCCGACCGAGTTGCCGCAGAGACAAAATTGAGTGAGAAGTGGGATGCCATGTCTTGAGTGTTGCGGCCATGCTGTACTATGTTCACGGTCTTGCTTGCTGCCGGAAGTCTGCCGTTTCAGGGAGGGTGGTGGACGGAGGGTTTGCTAGTGAGTTCCTCTTACCACAGCTAGTCATAATTAGGACCAGTAGAGGTCATAGGACCAGTAGAGGTCTTCGTTCCGTCCCTGCCTGTGTACCGAACCTACATATTTCGACGGCGCGGTGAGATACCCATGCATCGCGTCGGTCGCCTCGGCTTGCTGCTCACTGGGCTTGTTGCCGCGAACGTTTCAGAGCCTTCCGCTCCTTAGCCACATCGGAGAAGGGCACCGGTCTGCCAGAGGCGGACCGGTGGCTTTCCTCTGAGGCACCACGCGAGGAATGCTTGGACGACCAGAGTGAGGCTCAGGCGGCTAGGGCTCGGTTTCCGTGAAGCTCTTTGGCAAAGCCTGTCTCGAATTCCAAATTGGCAACGCGAGTCGCAATCGACCAAGATTTGAGACTGTGTACTGCAGAAGCCCGGGAGGTGGAGCTGATCCAAACCTCCTCCCTTCTGGAACGTCGATCCGAGTCCAAGGCCTTCTGCTGCAATCATGGCATGCATTCGTTTGCAATACCAGTGTAAAGCAAGTCTCAGGGCTTGCGGCTTGGGTGCTCCTAGGATGCTCCTAGGCCGGAGGGCTCAGAATCAGAGATGCCTAGCGGTCTTCTGTAAGAGCGCTGAAGTTCCCGTCGGCGCTGTTCTGAGTCTTCACGCACAGCTCGGCGGACGTGCGTCAGGTTTAGTTTAAGTATATCTGAGTTTTATCTCACCTCAACAACATTTAACAGCCTTTCAGCCTTTCACCCACTGTGAACTGAATCGACCGTCTTCCCTCCATCCGCTCCGGTCTGGTGTTCAGGATGTCCGGGCTCCTGAGGATGTGCAAGGGCCTTGGTTTTCAAACAGCTGGCCACATGGTGTGTTGAGTGTTTATGAAGGTCCGAGGATTACCGGGACCCTGCCGATTCGCTCTCTGCATCGTCCTTCGTGGCCCTCGCATCCGAGGAGGCATGAGCGTGCAGACATGTCGCTAGGAAGACGCTGCTGAGACGAGTTAGTAGACTCAGATTTCCAAGCTTTTTTGGTTCTCTCGGAACCAGCTGAATCCAACAGAACCAGCAGTTCGTGTCAGATTGCAGTGTGCTTGCTGTTGCAGCAGTTACGCCGGCAGAGCGCCCTTATCTGCATAACCGAGCAACCTGAATCGGGCCCAGCATGGCCAGGCCAGACGGTCGCTAATAGGGGAACTTCTGAGCCGAGACGTTGAGGCAGGGAAGGGAGGACCAGACACCAGAGCCTCAGTGTAGGATGGCGATTCACTCCGCTTGTACCTTCATCATTACTATATAGTACGGCTATCGAAGTGTCGGTCTATTGTAACTTCCTCTTACTTCATTTTTCGTTGTTGTGTGACATCTATGTGCGTGAAGCAATTCAGATGTTATTGGTGTAACATCGTGGCATTGCCGTACATGTGATATTTCAGCTGTCGCTTCAATCGTTCTTGGTTGTTAATGGCGTGTTGCTATCTGCTGAATAAACTACGACATTATCTTCGGATAAATGTATGTATTTATGTATGCATTCGTGTATGTATGTATGTATGTATGTATGTATGTATGTATGTATGTATGTATGTATGTATGTGCATGCATGCGTGTACGTGAATACGTACGTATGTACATATGTATGTATCTATGGTTGAACATATGCACATGTGCATAGGCGTGTGTGTGTGTGTTTATATATATGTATGTACACACACACACACATCACGCGCAATAGATTACAGCTTTATAGGCCACACCACTATGTCAATTCCGTACGCAGACTGCACTACAGCTCCCTGAGCGAAGATGGAATTGAAGATCTTTTTACCCAGATTTCTGAGCAGAATCGCAAGGCAAGTCCATCGTTTTCCCCATTTCCGTGTCAGGCACATCTGCAGGATTCTTTGCTGTGGGCTTCGGCGAACTCTACCACCACTACAACGAGTGCCCTGTTTGCAGACTTCGCCTTTGTCAGTCTATGAATTCTGCATGTGCGGTGGTATGCAGCAAGTCTGGCCTAGACGCGACAGGCAGGCGGGCTTTCTTGGACCTGCGCTTGTAGCGGCTACAGCCTTCACGAATGTCGAGCTAGCAGCTACCTTTGCTGAGCCACCCACTTTCCCCAGCACTGGAACGATTCTCCCAGGTTCATCGACAGTTGTGAAACTTGGCTCGCAGAACAGTGGATGTGTCAGTGCGAGCCTTTTGACACCGCTAGGGTATGCCGAGATACATGGACGTGTAGGAAGGCGGTGCGATTCGTGGAGGTTGCCGACCCTCTCGCCCTGCTGCACTGGCTAATTGCACGGAAGTCTCAGGCTTTGCCAGCATCGAAATTCGGGAAGAAACCCAGAGCTCAACCTATCACAGAACCAAAAGCTCATTGCCAGCTTCTCCCTCAAAGCTTGAAGCCTTTGAAGGGCCTTGCGAAGGCCCGGGGGCCCATGGCTCCAAACTCTGAAGTCCGAGGTCGCCGGTCGGCAACTCGGAGGGAGACCTCGTAGCCTTCCTGGCAGCGCCCCTGGGCTTCAGCAGATCCAACAGCTGTGGGGTTTAACGAAGCAGCTCTGGCTTGCGAGAACCAGTCGTGTCTGTTGCAGACATGTTCAGCCAAGGCTGGGCGTGAGCGTTGGCGTGTCTCTGCTCTTCTGTTGCTTCTTCACTTGCTGTCGGCAGCGCTACGCGCTGGTCTATGCACAGAAGGTGCTGGATGTGGGTGAAGATTCGCTCGAAAGCACCGAATCCCTAAATCCCCAAGACCCCAAGCCCAGCCAGGCCTTGCAAGCCTCTCGCCTTCAGGCGGAAACACCGGGTAGCCATGGAATGCAACCGCCGGACATCACAGGCTTCTGCAGCTGGGCAGTCGAGTCTTGGAGGCCCGCCGTCAGTGTACCCATTTTAAACATGCTAGAATCGCCGTGTGCTGTGAGATGACATCGTTGCAGATCCTTAGATCAATCTTTTCAAGCATTTCTATGCATAAGTTGCCTAGGCCTCAAGCTCGCAGCTTCTCGGCAGACTGTCGCAGGCTCCCTGTGGAGGAGGTTGCAAACCACGCCAATCTGGATCACGGAATGTTCGTTCAGTTCTGCGATGCAGCGACCATGTGCCTGCTGTGCGAAGCTCAGCAGATTATCGACGAGCACGCGATCGACGAAGTAGGTGCTGCGATAAGACCAGGTCCTAGTCGAGTTCTGCTTGCGATCGTCCGTTTTCTTCCTCGTTTGAGTAGTAAAGACTCAGGTCCACTGGAATCCCCTCTATTCTGATACTTTGCCCGCTCCATTTCTTTGCTGGTGGGAATGCTGCTGGATCTGACAACCTCTCCCGCGTGGGCTTCGCAAACGTGGTGAAGGGCAGTCCTCTGACTTGGGTGCATCCTTTCTTCGTTTGGTACACCGTCATCGTCACCCAGGCAAGTCTTCAGAAGCTCCTCGCTTCAGTGGGGCAACATGTGCAGGGGCGCCAGGGAGCGGCAGAAAGTGTGAGACTCCCTACATCTCCCTACTACGCCCCTACATGTTGTCCAGAAGCGTTGGAGATATCGGTGTCCTTGCTGCAGGCATTCTTGCTGAGAGCCCAGAGAGGCTTCGTTCAGAAGCGCTTCCAGTGGCTCAGGCGGGTTAGAAGCTTTAGAAGCCGGCTGGAAGTCTGCCTTTTACTGCCAATCCGGTGTGGGATTCCCAAAGTTCTGGCTCCTTCTCAGCCCTCAGCTTGCCCGTCCTTTCTCAGAGCCCGAAATTAATCACCAATCCCGAGTTCAGGGTTCTTTCTGTTCAAGCCCTGTCTCGTAGACTCACTGCAGGACCATGCCAGAGCCTCGCGCGAACTCTGTGCTGCTTCACAACATCCCCCCCGAGCTCCGTCAGGAGACCTCGTGCACGCTTGAGCTGTCGCTTGAGCTGTCGGACCTAGCGGCTGTTGCAAGGAGGCTTCCCTGAGAGAGTACCTGGAGAAGCAGATCTTCGGAGCTGAAGGCTCCCGCCGCTCGGAGATGCGGGTGCGTTTGTTTTGGGAGCGCTATGAAGCCGTGCTTCAAAGCGGTACGCACGTCTGAGGTCAGGTGGTGAGGTCGCTCTACTTCTTGAAGGACACCTCCGAGCTGGAGCCCTTCCTGAAGCAGCGACACCGTCTCCTCCAGGACAGGAAGCCCGCAGCAAAAGCCTCATCACACTTGGGACTCCTGGTGAAGCCTGTGACTCTTCAGCCCAGCATGACTTCCAAATTGCAGCTTCTCCCTCCTTTGAGCGCGAAAGGATCACCAGAGGATGGTGCAGGCGAGGAGACGTTTGGCATCACGTGTTGATCATCTGGGACTTTCCGAAAATAGGGGACCCTAATATAGTCCCTTAATAGTAGGATCCTTATTATAAGGACCCCAAAATAAGGTACCCTAAACCCTAAACCCTAAACCCCTAAACCCCAAACCCTAAACCCTAAAACCCCTAAGGGCAAGTCGACGCTTCTCTCCCGAGAGGCTTCCGAGCACGAGAGGCGACAAGCCGTGTTGAACGCCGAAGTGAAGAAGGCGGAAGATGGAATCAAGTTTAGGGTTTAAGGTTTAGGGGTTTAGGGTCTTTAGGAATCAAGTTTAGGGTTTAGGGTTTAGGGGTCTAGGGTTTAGGGAATGCTTTTCCGGTGCAGCATTCCGACCTTACTCGCCTTCTTGACGGCTCTCATCATGTCCAGGTCGATGCCCAGTTGTTGAAGCAGCAAGCCATCATCGAGAGAAGCGACGAGTACAACCAGGATACTGCGTGGCCAGACTGCAACAAGCGATGGCAGGCACAGCCTCTCCAAGACTGCATGAGACCATGGACGGCTAAGAGAAACTGATCCGTGCCATCAGTATTCATCTTTGTCCGCCCTGCATCGGTCTGCTGGCAGCGAGGTTCGTGACCTTTGAACTCCGGCACGATGCTGTGATCGTCCTGAAGCTCTTTGCGGATGGGCGTGGTGGTGAAGACCTCTTGGAGCCTCTGCACTGAAAGACTTCGTGTGAACTTGAGACCTGGTCCGCTGGCTTCGAGGGCCTCCGATGCCACGCTGAGGCCGAGCTTCCTCCGGATCCTGACGATGTCATCTGGACGGATCTGCTGGCCTCTGCACGCCTGTCACCTGGCACGAGACTGCCTCATCACTCAAGACCCCAAATTTGCAAGAAGGGTTGCCTCTTGAGCGTCTTTGTCACTTCTGCACACTGCCGCTGGAAACAGCTGCAAGACGTGAGGCAATGGCTGGGAGACACACTGGGAGTTTTCCTGTTGCTGCTGGCTTTCATCGTGATGATCCCACTGGCCGGGAGCCGAGATTCGCACTCAACTGGTTAGATCGTATTAGTGTTTGCTACAAGTGTTCTTCTTGGTTGTGTCATGAGCATGCGCCATTCCTGCGCGATGAATACCAAGGTGGCCGTCATTGCCGGGCTGAGTTCAGAAAAGAGTTTGGAGACTCTCCGATGCAACCAGATTTCTCATACTGTTTTCCTCGGCTGAGCCAGATTGGTTGCGTGTGACCAGGGCGCAAGATCCGAACTTTGCTGCCTTCATAAAGAACAATCCTGTGTCCTGGCTCCCATGAGTTCGGAGGTGTGAACTGATCAGGCTTGAGACCTGAATGTGTGGAGATTTCCGCGTGTCGGACTCTGCGTCCTGGCTTAAGGCAATTCCGATCTTCTGGAATGGGCTTCTCGGACCTTTCTCTCTGAGCCTCGACTTGTCGTAACGGTGCAGGGCTTCTCAGGCTCTCGGGGGCAACTACGGGTTGACGGAGCCGCGAGGCCTCAGATACAGCAGCCTGAAAAAGAGTGTTGTTGAAGCTTCCGGAAAGCCCTCGCCTCCAATCAGAAGCCAGCTGCTTCCTCTCTAAGCCTCGGCAGAATGCAAGGAATCTTGTCATGAGCTTCCTTCCCGCAGTCCTCGCGCTGATCCTGGGCTCCTTCTTCATCCTGAAGGCCCGGGCTGTGGACTTTTTTTTTTTTTTTTTTGGGGG